TAGTAAACATTAAGGTGACACAAGAGAGCGAGTCACTGTTAGCCTACCTAAAACGCGATTTTATCATAACAACTTCTGTTGTATTAAATAATAATTAAAAAGGTCCCTGGAGGAGGGTTAATATGAGTGAATTATATATGTTTTGCTGTGTCACTACGTGGAGTCGACGCCACGCAGCGGTTTAAGCAGGTGTCAAACATTTCTGACATCAAGACTGAAAAAAAGGGAAACGAAGATGGGTTTTCAAATAATATATTGAATAACAGTATATAAAAGTTTAGTTTTAATGGTCGCATTCACAGTTATTTTGCCGTATATATATTTTTTGCGTAATACATCATATTTACCTTTCAAAAGAGAATAATATAAGATACGTATACAATTATCTGTGGTTGTTGGTCTTTAAACGGGAAGTTAATTTTAGGAACCGTTTTTAGATATTGTTGTTGGTCTTTAAATGGGAAGTTAATTTTAGGAACCGTTTTTAAAGGTATTAATATTCTTAAAATGCTCTTATTTTACGGTACAAACAAACATGACAATTATACTGAAGCAAGAAACGGCAACAATATTTACACTAGTATACTTAGATAAATTGGAAAAAGCCAAATAGCCACAAAAATACACAAGCTGCTGTTTGCCTCTATAATCAGTGTTTCAGGCTATTTTTTAAAGGTGTCAAGAATAAGTGGTTCTGCTTCCATCAATCAACGCTCACCTATTGCTCCATTGACTCCTGTTTTACATCTGTTATCCAATCGGCCTAACCTCATTTATTTAAGCCAGATGGAAGCCAAGTGAAGCTGAGCCTCAACAGGGTTAAATATGAGCTAATCAGCTAAAACTTATTAGATGATCGCTGAGAAACAGCTAATACCTGGTGAACTAGCTAATACACTTTTAGTGTGTGTTGGTAAATGGGACATAAACATTGTTACTAGGTGTTGGTAAATGGGACATAAACATTGTATATACATCTTATTTATTTTATAACAGCTGCTTCAGAATTGCTTACTTGTACCTGTAAGAGGATAAGAGAGAATAACGTAAGAATGTAAAAATAACACAGCAGTCAGCAACAAATCTAATTCTTGGTCTGGTTTGAAAACAACAGTTGAACATACTAGGAGACTGATATTTTAATCTTAGTGAACATGATCAAATGTAGAGTAATAGTGTACCTTTTAAAAGTAGTATGTTCAGGAATGTTTAATTCTCATGCTACATACATACCTAGAAAGCCAACAAGAACAATATTGTTTAAAAAATATATAATTGTAAACAAAGCTACAAGAAATCCTGGTAGAGCAATGGGTCATCAAATATGTAAATAAGCAGTGACAAGGAAGATATTTGAAAAAACTCACTCTGATTTATTTCTCAAAACCAGAAAACATTTAGATGAAGAAAGCATTTGAGAAACAAAAACATTTACATTGTAAACAAGCCACCTTGGTTCAACATCACCGGAACTGTAGAGACAACTTGAAAGCAGTTTTGAGATGTTTGCTAAAGAAAGGCACGATCTGGCAAATGCATATTGACAAGGAATGTACAGCAGGGGCCCAAAGTACTCTGACCATTCTGAGGTGTAAAGTGTCCAGTGATACATTCATTACTGTTCAACTCAGCAGGCTGAGAAGGAAAAAACTCTTATCGTACACTCACGAATGTATCAAAAAATATACAGAGCATTGCATGGAGCACAGGGGGCGTAGAGGACAACTAAAATCTAAACGAGGTAGAACGTACCCCCCGAAACTCAAGCATTTTATGCATTATAAATAAATTAGTGATGCTACAAGTTGATACGTCTTGACAGTTACTTTAAATGGCTGATTAAAACAAAACCTAAATGGGGAAAAGCGGACAAAATACTCGATTTGCCCCTTCTCCCCATCACAATAAAGCAGTGGAAAATGAAACAACAAACAAAAGAGATCAAAACCTGAATAAAGTGCAGGCATGAGAATGTCAAGCGTTTAACAGCCTGTAGAGCTCAGCCAACTTATTGACCATGCAGATTTAAAGAGGAATAGATTGGAGATTTTGAAAGAGTGAACCATGATACCCACAAAATAACCACAAATGTCAGTCTAACAGGGCCTTCATAACATAGTTGTGCAGATGAAAGACGACAGCAACAAGTACAATTTAGAGTTAGGCACTTGGCAAAAAAAAGTCTCTGTATCTGCCTTAGGACTCTCCGCAGACAGGACTGCAGAGTCGCTCTGACGAACCCTCAGAAGGAGAGAAAACATTAACCTCTCAGAAAAATGTACAATGTTATAAAAAGTACGGCACACAGTAAGAGAGAAAGTAGTCATTTTTAACACGTGTTTAGCTACACCATCATCAACACTGAAACATCAAGACCTGCCCTGAAATGTTTTCTATTAAAGTCAAAATCCTTCAGTATCAAAGCGAGAATTAATGCAGTTTCAAGTAAGTTATACATTCAAACTTCTGGATCAATAGCAAACAAGTCACAGAGAGTAAAATAAAAAAAAATACCCGCATATATATATATTTATGTAAAATAAAACACAACTACAGTAGTTATATCAAGTTCAACTAAAAAAAAACAAAAAAAAAAAACCACTTGAATCAGACGAAGACTTGTATTGAACCAAGGGAAATGATTAGCTTAGATCTAGAAGCTTTTCTCCGAGTATCGATTGTACCTTATTCCAAATGGTAAGACATTCAAAAATGAGATTCTAGGAAATAACTGGCTGATAGAACCAAATACCTAATTCACCGCAATTTTACCCTCTTCCATGAAATGAGGGAACTGTGATTTTGGCACACTGTCTGAGCTGTTCTTTTCAATTTCTGCCACTGTGGCAGGCAAACCAGAGTGGGAGCCATCCATCTTCATCAGACCTCCAGTAGATCCAATAAGAGGACCACCAGCAGGGCTCCCCGGGAGTGGGATTCCACCACCTTGGATGACGGATATTTCATTAGTCTTCATGGTCAGGCCACCACTGAAGGCAGCTGCATACTGGTTCCACAGAGACGTATCAAAGTTCAGGGGTTGAGCACTTAGTTCTTTCGGTGCCTGCATTATTTCTGGCAACCTCTTGGCTTCGGCGCTCATTGCCATCAGGGCCATTGGATTCTCCAAAGACAGACGCTGGCCACGGCGTGAAGTGTTGTTCCACATGTGAGTGCCAATGTGCACCTGAAAAACAGGATTTTCGGTAAGTTGCTGCTCCTTAAAACGTTTTTCTTTTTCTTTTTTAACTTTAAATAAAACTTGACACTCAAGACAGTGAAAGCTTACTTTTAGATTTCCCTTGGTGGTAAAAGCTCTGCCGCAGATATGACAGGCAAAAGGCTTCTCCCCAGTATGAGTGCGCTCATGAATCTGCAAGGCACTGGCCGATGAGAAATTCTTGCCGCAAGCGTTACACATGTGCTGTTTGGTAGAGCGGCGGGGTGCGGGGGAGACCGCTGAGGGCAGGGCTGTTCCCTGAGGCATATGGGAGTTGAACAAACTATGAGGGCCCAAAGGATTCTCTGAGGGAATCTTCATCTCCAAACTGGACAGACTTGATGGCATCCTCATGTAAGGCGGAGCTGTTGGCACAACGAAGGGATCGATTACACCTCTGAAGTTGGATCATGTGAAAAATATTTGGGTTTCTACAAATGTAGCAAGTACAACTTACCATAATCTCCATTTGAGAATGGCATGCCTGGTTCTTCTTTGATGGCTTTAGGGGTGAAGCTGCTGGATGCTGTGAGGTCAAGAGCTCCACTTGACTCAGTGCCCTCCTGATGGGCACTGAGGTCTAATTTTGGTCCACTGTAGGTAAAGTCATCAGCAGCTGACTCTGGAGACTTGCTGCTACTTGTGTTGTGGTTGTTGCTGTTCAAAGGAGAGGCTGAATGAAAAGACATGGCAGAGTCAGAAATAGCAGGACTGCGGCCATTGTGATACTCCTGCTCTCTAGCAGCCGATGGTGAATCTTTGGATGTTCCTTCACTCTCTGAAGCTGTGCTACTCTGTCGTTTCAGTGCAAGAGCAGATGTGAGGTTCTTCAAGACATCCAGGCTGGAGAATACAGCGGGGGAAGAATGGTTCTGAGGTTGCTCCTCCAAGACGGGTGGGATAGAATCTAAGGTGCTTTTTTGCTTCTGTGGGTTAACCTCTGTCTCGTGATCCTCCATTGTTGCATCAAATCCATTCAAGTCCATGGTTTTCTCCTCTGGCATTGATTGCTCCACTGCCTCTGCTTCAAACTGGTTCTCAGGCACTGGAGTGTTGGGGATCTGCCCACCCATGTGCATGCGAATGTGCTGCTGCAGAACCACTGCGTTTGTGAACTTCTTCTGGCATATGGGACAAGAGTGCTGCATCTTTAGCGGAGTGTTAGCCCTGTGCACTCCATAATGGGCTTTGAGATTGCCCTTGGTGGAGAACGCACGGCCACAGATCTTGCACTTGTACGGCCTCTCACCGGTGTGTGTGCGGTAATGCATTTTCAGTGAACTCTGGCAACTCAGCACCCTGTGGCATATCACGCACTCATTAGGGTCGTTGGTCTTCTTTTCCAGGCCGTCCACCATTTGCTGAAGTTTTGCCGTCCCGGAGCTTTGTTCTCCTGCAAGAACACTGCCATTCATTTGCTGCAAGGCTCCTAGCAGATCTTTAGTATCTTTCTGGCTTTGATCCAACACAGCCTCCTGACCAAACATATTGGAGGACACTGACGGAGAGCTGTCACCTGCTGTTGGGGACGGTCTCTGCAAGTACTGGTCCCCACCAAAGCCTTCAAAGTTGGACTTGAATCCTGACACTGATGACGGCTGGAACCCAGTAGCAGTATGACCAACAACTGGCTTTGTTTCAGTCATGTTTGCCTCTTCCAGGGGTATGGACATGCCAAATGGAATTCCACTGGTGGTTGGAATACTGTCAAGGTGCTCTGGCACAGGATGAGGATTCATGGTAATGTTTGGGTACTTATCTTTATGCCTCTGAAAATGCACCTTTAGGTTCCCTTTGGTTGTGAAGCGGTTTCCACAAATATTACACTTGAAAGGCCTCTCGCCGGTGTGAGAACGCAGGTGAATCTGTAGTGCACTGTCATTGCCAAAGGTCTTTCCACAGTACTTACATTTGTGCTTGTACAGGGACTCGCCATTCTTTGATTCTGGTGGGAGGCTCAACATCTTTGTCTTCAATTTTTTGGAAGATTCCATCCCTTGAATACCATTAAAAGTGCTTGGGAATCCCATGACACTCTCTGACTGAGGAAGCAATGCTGGTAAACGGCTTGCCAGATCTGGAATGCCCTTCAAAATGTCTGATTTAGAATTTACCGAAGCCAGTCCTCCAGGTAGAGAGGTAGAGATAGCAGCGGGCACAGGTAGTTTACCTTGCTTCATGGTCTCCATTGAAAGGCTTTGACTTCCAGTTCTTTTTCCTATTAGAGCAGCTGCTGCAGAAAGCTGTTGAGAGAGATGGGCTCCAAGGGCCTTCAGGGGGTCCATCACTGCCCCGACTGATGCATGGAGACCCTGTGGAGTCATCATAGCAACTTGAATTCTTATCTGCTCCGTGAGCTGGATTTGCTGCAGCTGTTGCTGCTGCAGGCAGACTAACTGCTCCAGGATCATTGGAATGGCCTGTATGGCATCTTGTGGTGAAGACAGGGATGTGTTACTTGAAGAATGTTGGGATACAGCAACCCTTGTGTCTGGCATGGTCTCGAGGGTCACGTTGGAATCTTGCATTTTGGGCGAAAGATGATAAGACATCTCGGGGCTAGCTGGCATATCTGCGTCCTGATGCCCTGTGTCGTCTGCATTCATGCTGGAGTCTTCGTCTACTCTGTCCATATGGTCTGCATTGCCGTTGGACAGGGAATGACCACTGGACTGGCTGTCATCATGGTCACTGGTGAGGCCGTCAGCTTCAGGAGATCCTTGGGAATATTCCTCTGGCACTTCATTGCCGTCCCCTTCCTTCATGATGACCACCTGTTGATTTTTAGTGCAATTCTTCTCATGCTCGATAAATTCTGCCTCATCGAAGAACTCGGCACAGCACTTGTTGCAGACCCTGGTCTCATCCATTCTGAATCGCTTCACTTCATTTCCAGTCTCTTCAGCCTGATGATCTTGATGAATTCCTGAAACGAGAGGAACAGTTTTAAAAACGTATTCTTTACCATTTAAGTACAAGCAGGTGATTATTTTATCTCAGCAAATCTCTATTGGAGTTCATTATGTGGAAAACTAGATTTAGAATTATTATATGTATATCTGTGGTCAAATATAGCTTTTTGGCTGTGTGTATTAATGTAAAAAAGGTACATTACATACAGGTAAAGAAAAAGTACATGAAAAAACTCAACAAAAAATAATTTATTTTCAACACTGCAACATTTCCTTGATGTTCTTTAACTTTTTGAATCATAAACTGGGCTTGTCCGAACACTGGATTATTTTTTTATATATTGACAACTCAGGTTATTATTGCGTTACCCTTTAAGATTTTTTTTTACATTTATTTACTTAAATTAAACATTAAAAAGTAACACTTCCCCTCTAAGATCACTTCGCTGTGCTTCTATTTGTCTGTTGACTACTGAGCCACAAGGGGGCAATCACTAACCTCCTACCTCAAACAGAACAATGTCCAGAAAGACAAAGAGCTGCGGGGCATTAAATTACTCCTCTCTGAAACGACCACCCTTCACCCCCCGCCACCACCAATTGCTAATATATCAGATCCGTTTCCAGCTCTGTGTGTGGTAGAATGCTCACTACGCTGGGAGTCCAAAAAATAATGTCTATTAATTACAGCTGTGACCAGGATAGAAGGTTCCAGAAGATATGCAAAAGTTTAAAGTTTACCACACAAACACAGGCTGACCAGAGCCAAGGGGCGGGGGCACAGACGGGGACCACCAAGTCTTTTCACAGCCTTTGAAGACCTGATAAGTGCTCAATGTGTGCATTTGTGTGTCTCCTAACAATTTCACAACTGGGTGTATTCTTAAATGCAAATGTGCCACATGAAGGGGGTAGACCACCTGTTTGCATTCACCCAGACAAACTTGTTAATTGCTCACTGGGAGGCATTTAATCAGTTTCAGAGGAAACTGGAAAAACAAAATACAGAAACCTGTCGCATCACATTGTACTCCTCAAGGGGGCGTTATTCATGACAGAAAAACTAGAGATTATAAACGTGCATTCGTTTATTTGCACCATAATGTAAATAAAAATATATCGTGTTGGTTTTAATATGAAAAAAAAAATGCGCCAGATTACCACTTGACGGCGCCTGACCCACATCAGATCACCTATAGTGGGGTACATGACACGAGGTCAAACTACATGAATGGCAATCATTTCTTAAAGTTTCAATACTTCAGTACAACCTGATTGATACTCGTGATTGAATGGTTTCTGGTACGTTTGCGTTCCACTGTAAATGTTGTGGAGATATTTCTTCTAGAGCAAAAAACTTGCATATGGCAACACCAAAAAAAGAAGAAAAAAAAGCACCCCCACCCAGGCTCCACAAAAAGGCCACGGCTCCATCCCCCACCTCCACATATGTACGAAAGGAAACAGTCATGCATTAAACTGGGGGATTTATTGCCTTCAGGTCAGCTTACACCAGAGTCACATTTCATAGTTTTTTTTTTACGCACCTTTGTCCAAAAACCTCAACTGTGACGCAAACAAATCAAACCATCACTGCAACAGCAATATCAAAATACACCGAGTAATGGTGCGTTCATATAAATGAGAGAAAACGAGACATGAAACTGAAACATGAAATTAAAAAAAAGAGCCAAATACAGGACAGATATCCCAAATATTGCAAAAATAAATTTAGGTACGTGATTATATAGAGGTTTCGAGAAATAAATAGTTATGCTGAAATATTTCAATGAATAGAAAGGTTAGGATTTGGTCCGAACAATTCGTCTGTTACATGGCAACATATTGTGTCCATTTTAAAGCGCTGTGTTTGGAAATACAAAATAAATAAACAGAAACAAGCGCGTCTTCAAAGAATGTAAAAGTTCAACAGATTAACCAACTTTAAAGTGAGTCTCGACTCGGGAAAAAATGGTTCATATGGCGTTAAATCACGATGTACAGATTTTTACCCAAACCACTAATAAAACATTTTCTCGCCGGTCGACCACGGTGAAGCACCTGTGTCGTGTTTAACATTAATAAACAGACGCGTCGTTTCCAGACTTCGCTCGGTTGGAAATCACACGTGAAAGCAACAGGTCAAAGTGCCGGAACAAAGATGTTAAAGTCCGGACTCCAAACTTTTTTTTTTTTGGTAAAATGTCACCGCTTGGAAACATGGGAAGCACGCCGCGGTCCGTGCGGCGGCGTTTCTATCGCTCTCCTGTGCGTAAACTTACCATTTTCAAGCGAACCGGGTTCGTCCGAGTTGATGTGCTGCGGCTTGGCTTGCTTGCGCCTCGACATGGTGCAACCATCAGGGGCAAAGAGTCACAAACAAATTTTCCTCCCCTTCTTCAACAAATTCTTGTGCATGGAAAATTAGGCCATGGAGCAGAAATGCGCATGTCAACGCAATTATTATTATCAATAATGCATTGCGATTTATCACGGTCCCCTGACAGCTGATTGGCTCCAGTCCAAGTGCTCACACATTATTCAAATGTGCGCCCTATTGATGAGTGCGGCGCTGTGGCAGGAGGGGGCGGGATGAGCTCTGCGAGTGGATGGAGAGCAGGGTGGAGGCAGGCTTACTTCACCCCCGGCTCATCGCTCTTTTCCTCCTCCACGGAACAAGAAGGAGAAGAAAAGAAAAAAAAACAAAAAAAAAACTTCTTTATCCTCACCATCTTAGACAAAAGTGCTGCAGGAACTGGAACCATTTAATCAGATGTCACTCATTCACGATTATAATTATTTATTGATTATTTATATTATAATAATCATATTTGGAATTTAGAATTGAATAATCACCAACAACAATCAACCACTGTTAGAACAGACTGTACAACAAGAAAGACAATAAAACATAACAGTGTTATCAATTAAAAAAATGTTTTTTTTTCTGAGTTTTGAAGATGTCCACCCTCTGTATTTAGTCAAGGAAAAAAAATAGCTGCAAGTATTTATTGTATAGAATATAATAGAGGAGCAACCACAACAACACACGTGCAAAAGTAGCCTGTGAACCAAGGGTATCAAAGTCCTGGCTCGTGGGCAGCTACTTGTCAGCCATGTCCCCACATTCGGCCGGTGACTAGATGTTAATAATAATTGAATTACATTTTATTTTTTATCATTTATTTTCAATTGGTTCATATGATAATTTATTAAATGCTTTAGTTTGCCATTTAAGAATGTGGAGAAATATTTGTACTTAGAGTTGTAGTAATATACATTTTTTAAATATATGAATCACAAACAAAGTGAAAGGATATTTTTCCACACAGTATACTGAAGTCTGTTCATACACAGAAGCTTTTGGATCATTGTTAGTGCAATTTTAAAACTAAATTAAAGCTAACTTTATTATTTCTGGACATATTTTAATACATCAATGGACCAGTTCATCTAACTAGTTTATTTCCTGAAGACTTGTTTCACCTTCTTCATTTTTCTCTGCACTTTAATCTGTTTTTTTATTATATTTAAAATCCTTTTAGATATTATATTAAAAAAGTTTTTGGAAGGTTTTGGATCTTATTTGTTTCTCATTACTTGAAATGCTTTGATAAACTGTGTTTATCTAAAAAGAATCACGTTTCTTATTTCATTTTATTAACTCTGCTTTTGAATAGGACAAATATTAAAACTTTCTGCGATATATGTGTTTTGATGAATCCCAGATCTGAAATCCACCTAGTCTGTGTTTTTACTTTTTATTCCAACAATAAGTTCATCGAGAATGGACTGGAGGTCTCAAATATAAAGTTTAGAAAGATTTATCGTCAGCTTTTTTTTGATTCAAATGCATTCTGTCCAAAACTCAAACAGAACAATATTTGTCACCAAATGTTTTTTGTTGTTTTGTTTTTTAAGAAACCCATAACTATTTTCATATGATCAAATTTGACCTGCTTTAAAAAAAAGTTTTAAAAAATGTTGATCTTAGTCTTTAAGCCACAACAGGACACTGCACCATTCTGACCAAAGCATCGCAATATGGCCGACGTTACTGGCCGCTAAGTGCTGCGACGTTATATAATCTCACAGCTGATAAGTGTGAAACAAAGACGAGCCCATGCATTCAGACAAACAAATGCCTTTTTACTGGGCTGGGCCGAAGGTGGAAAGAAGAGGGGAGTCGTGTCTAGACGCTTTATGGCCCCAATAAGAAACTATGCTCGAATACAATGTTTCTCCGCCATTCAATCTAAACAAGTCAAAGTCTGAGCAGTCGTTAAACTGCAGTGGTGGGAATCAAAAGACACTGGGGAGGTTGGACTCATCTGTGAAATATATAAAAACAATGAGTAGGAAATACCTGAATACACATTCACTCTGGTCTTTGTTTAGGACTTGAACTTCATAGTGTTTTATCACATCATGAAATTAGAAAAATATAGATGACACTTTGGACAAAAAGAGTAAGTAAAAAGATGAATTATGAAAGTGATTTATTTCAAATAATCATGATTAATTGAGATCAGAAAAAACATATACCTGGATATTATTGGATATAAATGGAAACAGACAAATGGTGAGTGAATGAGAACAGCAGGTTGATATGACTTAAAAAGTCTGAATGGAATCGAATCAAACCTAACCTAACTTAACCTGAGCTAACCTAACCTAACCTAACCTAAACTAACCTAACCTAACCTAACTTAACCTAACCTAATCTAATCTAAATAGAATCAAATCAAATCAAATGTAACCTAGACTAATCGAATCGATTCCCCCTGGTACTGACACCGCGGTGCATTTTCCAAACCTCACCCACTGTACTGACTCCGTGCTGATGGGTCATGTCTTCTCCTCAGAGAGGACAAACAATAGCCCCCCTGAAGAGAACGTGTTAGAACGAGCACAGAGCCCAACGCCGCGGTGCGGTGCGGTGCTGCGTCCTTGCTCAGGTCATATATCTGACAATAGTCTCTTCACAGAGGTGGGACATGAAAGGACTCATAACTGTCCAACGAGGCAGCTCGAAGACAACCTTGGCTGGGTTATTATTCGCCCAGAACATTCTACCTTTTTCTATATGCTGACCTCTCTTTTATTCCCACTGGGGTCGACCGGAGTGAATGCTGGGAGACGAGGAGAGGTTGACTTTAACAGATGTGTCATTTGCTGCGCTTTACGATGACCTTGCAGTGGACAAACAATAACGGCCCCACACTTGTTGAGGAATTGTGAATTGAACATGTGTTTTTTTTAGGACTCAGTAAAAGATGAAAGGCACGGGACAACCCGGGAAACAGTTCCACCTCGGTGTGATAACGGGTGCCGCTGCTCAAACAAACTGAGTTTGGAATTTTTTAAGTGTAGCGCAGAATGAACGGCCTCTGTGAGGCAGGGTTTTATGTATTTACAGCTCACCTCCAAGATAGACCTGGACGACATGAAGACAACACCACATTATCCTGCTGCTACATGACAACGTTCGACATGACGTCTGTAATTATTTGATAAGCTGTAGGCCAATGGGGTAAAACCAGTATATTCAAACAGCAGCCCGTGGGCCACATGTGGCACTGATGCAACCCCAAGAGCGGCCCAGTGTCACATGACAAACATGGAAGAAAAACTGAAAGGATCACAGTTGGCGAGTATGCAAAACTCCTACAGTAGAACAGACCATGAATGCAACACTCTCTGTACCCTAGCAACACGCAATCCACCATACATTACTTGTGTATGCAAGTGTTAGCAATAAACTACACAGCAGCTGTAGGTGAATGTTGTAAAACTAGACGATCCAAATGGTGGCTCTTGGCCCACATCGGGCCCAAAGAAAACCTAAGAGTGGCCCAGATCCATTTGAGAATTGGGGAGATTTCAGTGAGTATTTCAAAATTCTCTGTACCTTAGCAACAGGGAAATTTCAGCGAGTATTTCGAAAGTCTCTGTACCTTAGCAACATGCAACCCACAATGCACCACTTGTGTCTCAAAAGATATTTTGTTTTATTGCTTTGTGAAGCTAAAAACAAACAGTGACAAATGAAAACGGTTCATCTGACATTTGTTGGTTTTTCATGTAGACCCCACCCCCCCACACACACACACCCTGTTTTCTCACAGTATCAGCTGTGCCAATACGGACGATCGATGCACCTTCTTCTTCAGCCAGGAGAAGATTATTCAGTTATTTTCTCTGCCATAGTTTGTTTTCGTCGATTGCACAATCATCTAAACATGTCATTATCTGAGTACAGCAGCTCACAGCCATTACTATAGTGTCAGTCTGTTTTCATCATTGATTGGCCGCCGGCCTTTTTAAATGTCCGTCTTTTCATGAACACATGTATTTAGCCCTTTGTTTGCGAACATCGGCCCAGAATAAAGAGCAGGGCACCGAGGTGAAAGCGATTGGCTGTTGGTCCGCGGCACCAACATTGTCTTTCGCCAATTGATTGTTACTCTTTGAAAAGAATTACACATGTGAGTCATATTGTTGGACAAACGTGCCTCCTGTTGACCCGGCGACATCGACGTAGGCACACAGTCACAGTGCACTGTGTACATACTGTATATTATAAACAGCAGTGTTACGAGCATGTTCCCCAGAAGAATACCTTTACTTGTCCTGTAGGGGAGATTGTACTTGTCGGAAAATTTAAAAATAGATATAAAGTTGAAATATACATACACACAAATATTAAAAATTAAACACATATAATTATCCAGTGAATGAATGTTGTATCTACCATAGAGTATTTGGATTGTGTTTTTCAAACATGCAGTTTTACAGCTGTGGAATGGTCAACACGTACAAGTATCCAGAAAAATATATATTCACATATATAACTGAGCATTTGTGTATTACAGTGATTGCCATATAACTTAATTAGTCTGATCACTTCAGTGTATTTACTGAAAATCATTTGTCTTCATTCATCTGTGTGACATTTAACTACTTCTTTGCTCTTATCTTTCTTCAATTCCTGCAGTTATATGTATCAGTGTTCAGTTAAACTGGACCAGGTTTCACACTGAGAAAGTAAACTGAAACTAGAAGATTATTATATTTCATTATATTTTTGCAGGATTTTTCCCAGAAGAAAATGACATTAGCGCTCTGCGAGCACTGAAGCTGAATTTGCATGTTAAGAGAAGGCTGTGAATAGCTGTGGCACCTGGGTGAAACAGGAAGTATAAATGACTGTCTTTAAACTAGATCTGTGACCTGGGAGATAACAAGATGACTGCTTATTTGTCTCTCACCATTGACTGCCGGGACTCGGGGGTGGGGGGTTGGGGCTCAAAGGAAATTACGGGCCACAGCATTCCACAAACAACTTTGGCTCTGGTGATGATTTTTACCTTTTGGAAAATGTGGGAAAAAAATCCTACTTATGATGGACAGGAATTCTGAGCTAATTGCTAATTTTGCACCTTTGTAATTTTTATTTCTTCACACAAAGACATGAGAAAATAAAGACCAGAGTGGGTTTTTAAGGGTCTTTGTTTATGGTGATGGTAACAGTGTAATATTCTC